TAACGTGGGAGCATGATATTTTAGTACTTAAGCCCCCTTCCCCTTACACAATGGGAACGAAGTAGATGACTGGATGGGTGTCGACGAGTGGAACAGCTGGTTCAAATCTTAAGTCCGAGACTGAACAGGAAGCAAGATTTTGTGAGTTTAAACAAATTAAAAAAGTTTGAAGACAGTTAAAATTATAGAAGAAATAGCCCTACGACAGTGTTTCGTAAGGCGCGCCCCCCTGGGGGCGCGATGACCCTACAAGGGGGCGCGAGCATACGTCGGAAAAATTTGCAAGATTTTTTAAAAAAATATAACTGGAAAGAGAAGCAAAAACAAAATACTTTCTTCCATAATAAAAAATGCATAACAACATTGGATATAATTTTATGTTTATTATCTGGCCTTTTTCCGTCATCAAATAGCTATCTTTGATCCCAAAACCAAGTTAAAGAAAAAAAAAACATTTTGTTTAATGAGAGATATTTTTATTACGTTCTTTAACATGCAAATATTACTCGTTAAGAGAAAAAAAACGAAATCCAGACCCCTGAGAAAAATTCTAAGAAGATAAACAACAATTCATCACTGTAATTATTATTGAAATACCGTACATTAGTTATAGAAAAGAAAAGTGGAAGACATGATTCACTTTTCAGTCAGGCCATAGCTGCAAGGGGCATCTGTGGATCTCTATTGAAGGAAGTTGTAACTGATCAACCAAAAGAAGAACCTGCTGAAAGATGCATATTATTCATGATTGAGAAACGCGATGAACATGAAACGAAAGGAAAATTTTCAAATGCTTTCTAAAAAGACCTCCATCAACTTAAAATATGAAGCCATAAGTGTACCACAAGGTTCAGTTCACCTTGTCAAAAAGACACAAGAAAGAAAAAGTTCAACTCTTGTTATTTGTTGATCATCAAAGGTGCTCTTTGTGCCCAGTACTACTAAAACACGCCATGTAGAGGAGAGATGCACGTTAAACTGTCGAGAGCTCAAACGTCTTCTTGTTGGAGTGGTGTGGTAGTTAAAAGAGGCCAGTTCAAACGTCCTCTTGCTGGAGTGGCGTTGTAGCTGAAAGAGAGGCCAGCTTCCAAGTATCGTCCTCGGCATTTGACCACGGTTTAAAATTACGAGGTCCGTCTCCAAAAGCCCTCGTGTAGCTGAACAAAGTGATGTTAATATTTACTCACTTGGTCATGAAAGCTTTATAACTACAATAACTTGAACAAAATATGACAGCTTTGCCAGCAAATAACATTTCTGTAATATTAGTGAAAAGAGAGAGTGTTTGGATTTGCATCCCTTTATTAAGGTCTTGCACTTATGAATCATTTTAGTTCAGTTTTTATTGGATTTTTCTCAAATCATCGAAGAAAAATTGAATAGTCATTGAAAGCCGGTAAGTATACATTCTCTTAATTAAATTATTCTGAATTCCGATTTGTATCGTATACAGTAAAAATAATTATAAAAAATGATTGGGGTCACTGAGTCCCCGCACTACCATTAACGTTAGTATCGAGTGCACGCCTGCTCCCGGGGTAAAACTATTTTTAAGTCTTCTCACTTTAAATATTAAAAAGTAACACAATTATTTCTTCATCGGAATTTTTATATTCTTTTTCATAAATTAACATTAATTCTAAATGCTAATTCTGTGAGGTTTAAAATTACAGTTCTCTTTTAAACAGTTATTTACAGTTATAGCATTTATCTAAAAAATCATTTTGCATTTTGTATTACAATGTCGTGCACGCAGTGTTACTTCTCCTTTTTCAGTTCAGCTATTATATCAAGAATAATGTTTTATTTTTTAAAAATGAACTCGTGCGAAGAGCTGGTGTTTGCAGCCAGTATGCGTTTAATGTATCAGTACTGAAGAAGGTATTTTATAAATAATTTCTTAATACTACATTAAGAAAAAGTTTATCAATTATTTTAGGGACTTTCTTCATGGGCTTGTCTTGTAGAGCAAATTTTTCAAAGGAAGGTTTAACATCAGAAATTGACACTCTGAGTTATTTTTTCTATATTAAGCTGAGATTCATATTTCCTGTCTTCAAAGCAGCTACCGCAGAAAATCCAGTTTAACAAAGGTGGAATGTTGAAAATGGTAATAGTATATGAAGTGCTTTGGTTTTTTTCAGTACATAGAATAGATCATCCACTACCCAAAAATTCAAAGAGCGATTTATTACAAAAATTGCCTTGCATTTGTAGCACTGGATGTGAAATCTATGAAGATTTCACATCCAGTTCGGAAGTTGAGAGCCCTTCTGAGTATCTTGAATAACCCTAATCCAATCCGTAACTTGCAACCATTAAGTCCTCATCCAAAAATACTTTTTAATATTCTTTGCCAGCATGTCTAAACGATTTTACATGGTTGTAAAACAACTTTCACATGTTGTTCTTCGATTTGTAAGTTTAAACACATAACGAGCTGGGGCTTTTTTTCCTCATCATTTACTTCAGTAGTGGTAAATCCAAAATTTAAGTATTTTTGAGAATATTTCCCTTGATTTAATTTTCGGAATCATGCTCGTCTGTGTACTTGTTGATCCTTTTATTATCATCGAATATTTGCTTTCTTACGACTTAAAAATGTATGTATGATTTTTGTTTTAATCTACTGCCGTAAATACTTAATTACCGTGAATTACAATTAACGTGCAAATTAAAAAATGTACATTCAAGATAGATTCAATAGCTATAGAAGTATTAAGACGACCAAAACTGACTGAATTGTACGAGGAAAAAGCATTTTTACATGTTTTGCGCAGACATCCGATAGGTTGCCCAGACTCACGCAAACGTATCCGATAATGCCAGATGTGATGGATATGATAGAGAGCAACATAGACTAGACTATTTTTCTAATGACATTTGTACTTTGAGAAATGGATGCTGAAGGAAATAAATCTTTAATTAAATATATCATTTTGCGATCTGTTCCAATTTAAAAATTAGAGAAAGAAAAATAACATAATGATAAGTAAGTAATATATATTTAAAGTAAAAAAAAATGTCTTAAAATATATACTGCTTAAGGGGACTTCGCACCCTTTGAGCAAACTTTTTTATTAACGTATTTAAAAATTATATTTTAACATTTTATACAATGTTTCTGTTGAAGAAAATGTTACCAGATGAAAAATTTCATATATATTATTCACACAATTTTAAAAATTTAAATTTTTTGAAGAAAAAATTGGGAAAATTCTAAAATCCTACTCCTTTTGTAAAAATTAATTTTTTGACCTGAAATTTTTTATAATATTCTTATGGATGTTCTTAACAACTTTAGGGATAGATTTTAGAATAACTGTATTCGTTTTCGAGAAAAAAAAATAAAATGTTGATATACAGGCTAAAAATCAACGAAAAAGCCAACATGTCTTACATTTTATTATTTTTTTTAAAAAAGTATTCAGTTTATAGCAAAACGGATCCCTAATTTTATTACATGCCTTATTTTTAACACGCAAGAAAAAAATGGGAGTGATTGGTAAATAATTGTCGAAGGAGTAGCATTTTGAATGCACTAAGGTTTCGAAAAACACAAACTGAGAAAAATCAGTTTAAAGTTTATAATTCTGAAAAAATAATTATTATAAGCTTAATTAAACTTAAAATACCACTTTAAGATATTACTTATACGTTTTTCTTTAAAATAATTGCATTTCATATTTTTGCAACCCACACATTTTTGTAAATGATCAACTTTTAGAGAGTACTAATTGCACAAGAAAATTCAAGAAAAACGTTAAAAAAATTTTTTCTGTCACGACAGAAATTTTAGCTGTGTTTTCTTCTTATAATATTAAAGTATTATATTTGTATGAAAAATATATCAGGAATAAGTACTGAAGTTATAAAATTATTCATATAAAACGCCTTAATTTAAAAATTTTACATGCACTCATTTCACAAAGAAAAAAAATCGCATTGTATGTATTGCCTCGGAAATATTCTGCTTTTAATACTACACATTCTTTTTATAGTTATTATTTCTATTTATAAAATAGATTTTTTTATCATAACGCATTTTTTAGCTTTTTTATAAAAAGGGGTGTGGCTGAATTGCCTAATTTGTTTTCAAATGAAGTTTTATTCAACTTCTAACTTTCCGACATGCACAAGAGATATATCAATCGAAAGATACAAAGAACAAGATTAAATCAAAATAAAAGAAAAACGATAGGTTTGTGATTTTTAGGGTACCAAGTCCTCTTAAAAGTTACATATACAAAATTTAATATACTTATTGTATTAATTTGTATGGTTTATAATTAAAAATCTGTATTGTAACTTTAGCGTCTCATTTCTCCCAAAGTGCATTTATTGCAGTGAATTACATTATTGTTGTACACAGGTGGGGCGAGAAAAATTATGATTGAAAATTGGGTCGCCAGTATTGGAAGTTTGAGAAACACTGACTTATGTTACTAATTTGTATGGTTTATAATTAAGATCGCCTATTGTAGCTTTAGTGTCAAAGTGCATTATTATTGCATTCAGTACATTATTAATGTATAAGGGGGCGCGATAAAAATTGTGATTGAAAATTGGGTCGCCAGTATTGAAAGTTTGAGAAACACTGCCCTACGAGCATTAAATTATAATAACTGGAGGAGCAGATAGAGAGGGATCGAATGAGCCAGGTCCGAATGGACCGTGAGGCTCGGAGCTAGAGATATTGGCCAAAAACGCTGTAGTGGGAGGGAATGAACAGGGGGGGATGTATCCCAACAGATAGGTTTATAACAATAGTTTTTATGATCCCCCAAATATCAGTCCCATAGCACCAACAAATGGCATGTTAAATATTATGCATCGGTGTGAGAGCGCATCGGTATCATGAAGGTATTCGCGTGCATCTGTGACGGTGAGCGCGCATCGTGTAAAAATTCGTAAAATGATCTGTCCCATTCCCTGTATATTTCGGGAAAGGCATTTTCGTATCCGCTCCTACGGAACGCAAAGCAAAAAGTTCGCTGACGTGGGGTGTAGAGCTCCGTTGTAGAGCATTCGACTGCTGATCGAGAGGGCCCCGGTTCAAACCTAGGTGCCCCATTCTTCAGGGAGTAAAGAGGAATATTTTCTTACAATTCTCGAAGGTGGAATGATCTGTTCCATTCTGTATATATTCCAGACAAAGCATATTCTGCATCCGTGACGGTGTGCACTCGCTTCTGTAAAAAAATTTACCCCTCATCCTTCTTCCCAAACGCCCCCAATATATATATATATATATATATATATATATATATATATATAAGAAGTATAACTCTCTCTCTTCAAAAATTATTCATATGTATAGAAATAAAATTTTTAGAACAAAATACTGTGTGAAACTTATAAAATCTTTGTACAATATTTTTTATAAACAGATTCTTCATAATATTCAAAACAATCAGGCAGATATAATTATGTGTGTGTCTCTTACTTCTTAAAATAATATCTAAGCGAAGATTTTCAGAAAATTCTTCAGTTACATAATTTTGAGGTTTTAATAATAATAAAAAGTGTTTATATTTTCAAAAAGATTATTATAAAAACATTCAACAAAATGATTTTTAAAAATGTCGCCATCCTCTGTAAGCATTGAGATAATTTCTGACGTAGAATTCAGTCGCCGTCTTGTAGAATCAAGATCAGGCAAGCGAAGACAAGTTAAATCGTAACCCGTTCACGCTGATTACGAGTATACTACGTCACATTTTTTTCTGAATAATCAATTTACTTTGTATATTTACTGTGTATGTGCAATCATTATACTGAATTAAAATTTACAAATTATTAAAATAGTATAAATTAAATATTTTTTTTATTTCATTTTAATTAATAAAATGATTTTAAAAAATGTCACCATCTGCCTCGCCTGCAAAATTAAATTCATGAGATTATAAATATAAGTTTTTTCTTCAGGTCTGCATGCCTTCATAGACAATGGTTAGCGTAACTGAAAACTATTGTCCTATGGAGACATTTTGTTCTGAGGCTGTGAGTTTGAATCTGATTTATTATTTTTTTATCTGAGTGTTATTTACATCAATCATTTTTAAAATCTATAATTAGTGTATATTTTAATCAATAGGGGCACTCTGAGCACTTTTAACATTCCCATACTTCAGTTTTTTGCACATTTTTTAAAAAAACAACTCAACTTAGCAGTAGGAAAACAACTCAACTCGAAAGCCAAAACCATAGCAGGAGAAAAACAATTTAAAGTAACAGCGGAAAGAAAAACAATTGAACTCAGCACAGTCTGCTCCACCTGCACATTATAGCAGGAGAAAAACAACTCAACTAAGCAGCAGGAGGATAATGACTCAATCCTCTGCTCCACCTGTGTCGCCGCGACCGCAGAATAGGCTTTTATTACCTACTATCATACAATATAAAATAGTTTATGATAATAATTTTCCCTATTAAATAAAATACGTATGACAAAAACAAAAAATGTTTATTGAAATAATTAATTACAAGTTAAAATATTAGAATACATCTAATGCGAAATTTGAGCTTGATAATTTTTGATAATTTGTTTATACAGAAGGTTGTTCGCACTGTATGGAAACGATTTTGATAGTTAATTTTTATCAATAAGCACCGTATTTTTGTGGCAATTTTCTTCTATCTGATAGCCATGATTTTTGGCAATAGCTCTACCATACAGAATTTTTCATGAAAGCAAACTTTTTTCTTAATACTGCCATATATACAAATTTTACTCCAATCCTCTTAAACCTTTTTTCCAAAATCCGTTCAAAGTTCTTGGTTGCCGTTTTCCTAAGGCTCGTTTTAACAAATCGAATGCACATTCATTGGAGAAGCGTAGGGTGATTTTACACGTATTTCATCAAATGGGATACACTTTATTCCTGTTTATAATTCTTTCCTTGATAAATAAGCGATCGCTGACTTAGACGTGTGACTAGAAGCGTTGTCCATTCGAAGTTCAACTTTATCAATGCCCTTTCCATATAAGTTTGGAATTTCTTTAAAAATTTATTTTAAAATATTCTGCTGATAGTAGAAGTGAATTAATTTCGTCTTTACTTGAGACTTTTTCGATTTTTAATTTGCCGTTGTTAGAAAATCCTGCCACTATCATGAATCCCTTTGGGAACTTTACTGTGCACTGACGAAGCCATTTCGAACGGTCATTCCCGCCAGCTGAGCAATAGAAAATTGATCTTTTATTACAGTCACTTAAATATACCCATGCATCATCGAGTATTACCCCAAATTTTCATTTTTTGGCAGCTAGATGTTTTTTTATATAAATTTCTACAATTTGTGTGTTTTTCTTGCAGCAATATGTTTTAATAAAGGAGATGAACTTTAGGTTTAAACATTTTTTAACTTTAAATATTTATGAATGATTTTAATTACAGTGCCGGAAGACATTCCTTGTTTCTATGCAATGAATCTTTGAGTCGGCGGATTTTCTTCTAGAATCAGAGACTTCATTTATTTTAATAGTTGCCTGCGCTTCAACAGTCTTAGGATGAGGTTTCGGGGTCACGTTTTCGTTTTTACTTTATATATATATATATATATATATATATATATATATATATATATATATATATATATATATATATATATATATATCATGCATTGGAGAAATTCTTGGATTGACAGGAGAAATGCGACGTGCAGCCGTTTATCATATATATTTTATGTCAATATTCAGTAAAGCAGTCTGCACTCCAAGCCATGACAAAACGAGACCTCTTTCAGCGTTGATCAGCAGCGAGTGAGTCGTTAATACACGTGTCTTCTTTAAGTCCGGTGAAAGTAGAAGTCAAAGTTCTTATGCGGGAGGTGGGTTGAGTTCGATCCAACTGCCAAGAGAATGCCCGTCTTCGTCTGGTACACCACCCGTTACCCAAGAGTGTGCCCCTGGAATACCTGCCCTTTTGCGTGAGGGGCAAGTTTAGTCAGCTGGCCCGAGGCAACAGGCGCCTGATAGTGGTCAAAGGAGGGGAGCAACAAATTTTTTTGCAAGAGCTCGGACTGTATACCATGGCCCTGGAGAACCTGCCGAAATTCAAAGACATTTGCGATGGAACCTTTCCCAACCCCGTGCATGAGGGTGTGCACGAGGAAGAGGACATTTCGTACTGCACCATGCTAAAATCGTATCAATTTGCCAAATACCTGCAGCAATTTAATAAGCTGCATGCTAAATGGAGCTATAAAGTTACGGTACAGTAAAAACTGGACATTGGCCCGGAAAAAGGGGGATTGAGTCGACACAAGAGTCGACTTGGTCCTCCTTTTTTTGGGCCAAATAGTGTACCAAGATTGGAATGCACATTTTAAAAACGTGTGCTGAATCGTGCTGTTTGATGCACCAAGATTGGGTTCATCTGTATTGGGGAACTTTGCACTAAAGATTTCTTTCATCAGTGTCTGGTGATTCAAGGTTGGAAAAGCATCAGCCAATAGGAATCGATTCCCGTGACCCAGCAGAGTATAAAAGGTGAGTGCTCATCCACCAGAGACATTCTCACTCAGCAACATGTCTCACTTAGCCTTTTTGCCCATGCCAACGTGTTTCACCATGGTGGCCAGCCTGTCCCGATCGAATTCCGGAGGATGGCAAAGACCCGGAAGTAATTTGTATCACGGTGGACCACTCGAATCTCCTTACGACTACCAAAGGCAGCAGGGCCAACAGGTACATCAATGAACATTTCAGCTTGAAGAGCCACCTGCCCGGATCTGTACCCCTCGAATACCTGTCTTTCTGCGTCAGGGGCAAGTTTTGTCACCTGGCCCAAGGAAACAGAGGCCTCATCGTCGTCAAGGGCTCGGACCAGCGGAAAATTTTTGAAAAGCTTGGACTTCTTACCCTCAACCTGGAAATATTGCCCCATTTCCGGGATTTGAAGGACCGCATCCTGCCTGACCACCTGCACGATGAGGTGCACAAGGACTATGACATTTCCGAGTGCACCATGGTGAAAATTTTTATCGATAGCGATACCTGCAGCATTTTAACAAGCTGCAGGCTGAATGCAAAAGACAAACTGCCCATCTAGTAGAGGAGTGAAAAAAATTTTACCGAAAAGGGGGGACCGAGTCGACTCGGTCCCTTTTTTTTTCAAGACAATATGCCAACGTTGGAAGGTATCTTTTTTAAAACATGCGCCAGCCAATAGAAATCGTTTCACTTGACCTCATTAGAGTATAAAAGGTCAGCAGCCAAACATTCAATCATATTTTCATGCTAAATGTTTTTCGCTGTCAGGATTTGAAGTGATTAATATTCTCAAATTCTGGCAGTCTTATCGGTAAATGTTTTGAGCCAAAATCTTCAAGTCCGAAAATTGGGGGTGGTCCCTTTTTTTCGGGTCAATTACTTAACCAAGATTGGAATAATATAGATTAGACTTACCTGTTGTCGTCTTCACACACCAAGATTGGAGGGCTTGTCTCGTTGAGTTCACTGGTGTCCTCTGTTTTCTCACCAAGATTGGAGGGCTTGTCTCGTTGTGTTCGCTGGTGTCCTCTGTTTTCTCACCAAGATTGGAGGGCTTGTCTCGTTGAGTTGGCATATCCTCTGTTTTCTTACCAAGATGCATACATTTTATTTGAAATGCCAAGAATTTCATTTAACCCCTTCAAGATGTCTGAATTTCATTTGTTGATGACCCCTATCTAAATTGTCTCTCTGGGATGGAATGAAAAATTTTCTCTCACCCCATGATAAAATATTTTTGGGAGAAATTTGAAAAATTTTATGCTGTTCATACATGGTTGCTCTCAGTAGAAATTTGAAGGATAATTGAATCGAGACCCTAAAGACAACTTTGGGATAAAAAATTGGGTGAAAAGTGGACAATAGTCATACAAAAGAGCCGTTTTAACTTTCCTTTTGGTTTGAAGCCTTAAATGCAAGTTTTGCATAAAAAGTAGGTGAAAAATGTACAATAGTCATCTAAAAACGCCGTTTAAAATGAAAAAGTGGGAATAAAACAACAAAAATACAGCGTTGAGATGGTTTTCGTTACAAACGAGATGGTTTCAAAAAAGGTCGTTTTCCATTTCCAATCATTT